GAGTAAAATGATCGGGTGGTCAGGCTCGCTGACTTGGTTGACACATGCCATCTGTTCCCAACAGCGTAGATCGACGCTCTTGCTGTTGATCACTGAACTGTCTGGTCCAGACTGGTCTGGTCTGGTCTAGTTACAGACCGCCGCCATATAGCTGGAATATTCCTGAGTGCACCATTCGTATTTATGTGAAACAGATGTTGGTATGCTGTTTATGTAAGGCATCAATAATATTTGTGTTAGGAACGTACACAATGTGGCCATTCACAGATGATGTTTTCGGAAGAAAATTATTAGCATGAACTCATTATTACTATTCTATTTAGGCTTTGTATATTAAACACACCTCACTTCATGAATTTGGGTAACTGTTCTGCATATATCGGGACCATTTTGATTCGAAGTTCCTCATCGGTAACATCCGTGTATTTGTTTTTCAACGACATGCCGTTGGAATACATCTTGTAGCATACGGTGCTTGCTGAACAAGTAAAGTGGTTTGCTATTTTGGCAGCTGTGTAACCTTCTTCAGAAGACATGCGATTGGAACCGCGCATCCCTGCAAGAATGTATCAACACTTTCACATATGCACCGTATCATTCCATGATTTTATGAGTAATATGCCAAGGCCAACATAAAACGGTATAGTTTATAGTACAGTACAACCAGAAATTATTGAGAATTTAAGATTCTAATTTTTAATTTGTTTTCACTCATTACTCACGTATTAAATGTGAGTATTCGCAGAACATTACTCCAGATTCAAAGACAGGTGAACAGTTAGTATTTTGTCAAGTCACCATGGACAGCAATGCAGGGTTCAATGCGGCGGGGCATGCTACTGATCAAAGAAGTTAGAAAGTCGTGGTCCATGCTGTCCCAATATCGGACCCCTCTTCTTTCATTTCAGCAATATTTGTCACACTTTCCTTCAGAAGTCCCCAAACATTTTCTATTGGATTTATGTCAGGGCTATAGCTTGGCCAATCTAATAATATCATATTTTGGGTCCGAAACCAGGCCTGTGAATGCTTTGAACGATGTTTTGGGTTGTTGTCCTGCTGGAAAATCCCAAAATTTCCATAGAACGCGTGAGCAGATGGAAGTAAATGTCCCTCGAGAATATCTGTGTACCGCTCACTGTTCATATTCCCTTCAAATACACAGAGGGGCGTTGCCCCTTACATGCATATTCCACCCCACACGTTAAATTTCGGACTGTACTTTGGGCGCTGATACAAAGGTTTTTCAGTTTGTTTGGTCCCGAATTTCAGTGTATTAGGGAACAGCCACGCAGAACTTTCATCTGAGAAAATCACATTGTCCCAGTTAAAATTTCTATAATGTAAGCACCAGTTCAACCTTCGCTCCTTTTGTTCAGGTTTCATGATCGGTGATGTAATTCCTCGACTTTTCTGCCAACCCATTGCATGCAGCTCAGTTCTAATTGTCTGCTTACAGACAGCCACAGTTCCTCTATCAATCATATCCAGCCTTAAACTCCTTCCTTTGCTTTTAGAAACAAGAACACCAAGCCTCCTCCTGTCTGGGCCTACCTGCTCCTCCCTGGTGCTCAATGCCATATCCATTTGCAATATTTTTCAAAACACGATAAAGTGATGCCTGTTCTAATTGAAATCACTTTAGCTGATCTGATGTCCTTGTTATAATACTCTAAAATCAACTTCCTCTTCTCTAAATCATCCATACTGAGGATCACTGAAAATGTCGTCTGCAAGCAAGTAAACAAAGGGGGATAACTCTTCACAAACTAATGAAAAAGGATTAACGCAGTTGTCTCTCTTGAATGAAACCAAGCACTTGATAGCTCGTCATGGTTGTTTATACTAGAAATCTAATTAAACATATTCCTAAAATTATAAATAATTTCTGGTCAGACTATATATGTATGTACATATTAGTCCTACCCCGGCGAACAAATCGCATAATAAAGGCCTTTATGGTGTAAATGAGAGCTGTAAATTATACAAGGAAACAGTTTCATATACCTTTGTACGATATTTCAGTAGATGGGATTTAATGTTTACTGTTGGTAAAGGTAGAACACTTTTACAAGTATTTCTGACTGTAGAGATGACCGAATTAACGTTCTTAGGCATTTAGGCATGCATGCTGAACAAACCCTCAAACAAATTGCACGACTCCACGAGATGAAACAGTGTAGTTTTGCGAGCTGCGAGTGGCCAGAATATCTTTGTTCATAGTTGAAACAAGTGCTGTTTTGTGCACGGCATTCGTTTTCAGACCTGATGTAATTATTTACATTGATTTCACCGAGACATTGATGACAAATACTATTTGACATTTTCTTGTAAAATGTTTACGGAATTCAGGGTTTCATGTAATGAAGCTGAGTTTGAAGTATACATGGTGTAATAGGCGTAACATAAGTGATTTAATAAACAGTATCATATGGCGGAAAGTTCACTTCGGGGTGCGTTCTCAGCCAGTCTAGGGTCATCAAACCACGTTTCTCAAAGTTCATTGGTGATTTGATGAGAAAAACGCTATTTAGACGCCATGGATAGAGGAAAGAGCTTGACAAGGGGCCAATAAATAAACCTGTTATTTAATCTTTTATTTGATAGTTGTGGAATATAATGTTGAACTGATAATGACCAGAGCACGAATAGTCCCAAAGCAAATGTTATTAGTCTCTAAAGCTCCCTTCTCACTGGGATTCCTTTTCACTCATTGTATACATTCAGGGACTAGGTATAAGACTTGTGCAGGGCCTTTGCAGGCTCGCCCGCCTGTGTTTCAAGTTTTTCCAACTGTACAGGGTCTCAGGAAACCTATGTTTGAATCCCTTACACATTAACATTTGGTTCCGGTTTGTTACAGTCTGACTGTTTCTTATCGCATCGTGTCTTGATTGATGGGTGACATGAACGTTGTTTTGATGCTGCTCCCCATTGATTGGCTGCTAATGGTGTGAGCTTATCAAGTGATGTACATAAGTTATCCGGTCACCTGATCCACGTCATGCCACAGCATGTATTCCTCTGCCTGGAACTGTTATCATCCTCGCCATTTTCGCTTTGATTTATGTTACTCTGCTACTGTAGAGACCACGTTTTGGCTGTGGAATTTAATTACAAGGACTGACTATGTATTTGTTTTCGGCTTAAAGTGGTATGAATCTAAGGAAGGATAACAATATATTGATAAACAACTTCTTTATTATAGTGAGCGCGACATTTCGGTGCAAGTTGCTTGCTGACGGTGTGAGAACCTACACAGAAACATTGCTCTCACGATAAAACAACAAGTTGTTTATCCATACATTGTTATCCTTCCTCACTGTTCCCCCTTCTAAATGTCTCTACAAGAAGGGCATGAACCTTACTGAATATTAATGAATTCTTACACAAAATCGAAAAATAATATCCAATCTATTCATACACTTTGATGGCTATGATATGTATGGACTCTCAACTTCTAATTTCAAAAGCTGCTGGTTGGCTGTCTGTAAATTGGATAGAGTAGTCTGGAGGAGTTGTTTAGCTGACAAAACATTGGCATTTTCAGTCACCAAACGCTGTATGCCACCCATTGCGGAATGAATACGACCAAGTACCTGTTGGGAATCGTCAGCACCGCCCGCCATGATTCTAAACATCACCCACAGTATACTTTACAGGGCCGGCAGTATTTACGGATATGTCGCCGGAAGTATTTGAAGATATCTTGAAATCGTTTTCAATATCTCTATTCATGATATCTCCAATTCATTTCAAGATATCTTTACAACAAATTACGATCAAAGTAGTTTCTCAAAACATTATCTCTGTTTGAGATATCCATAATTCATTACAAGATATCAGCAATGCCTTTCAAGATATCATTAATATGCTTTAACATATCCTTAATTCTTTTCGTGATATCATGAATTTTATTGGAGATATCTATAATTATCTCTATTCGAGATACCTTCAATTCAATTTCATTCAAGATATCTGTAAAACAATTGAAGATATCAGTATTTGTTAATAAATGTGAAAACGGCTTGCCATACTGGTGCATGTGAAACCTGGCTCCGATTTCTCGAAACAAACTTAAGTCTGAGTTTTGACTTAAGTTAGAGTTTTTACTCAAATTTGAGAAAGCGCAGGTAAATGCATTTCCCAAAATGAACTGAAATCGACATTAAACTCAAATTTAGTAGACAATTTGAGTTTGGTGGATAGATTTCTTAAGTTGTTGGGGCTTTTTTACTGCAAACATGGAGTTGAGTTACAAATTCAGTTGTTTCAAATTATCAAACTCAGTTTGAAACTTGAGTAAAAACTTAAGTTTGTTTCGAGAAATCGGGGCCAGGTTAATGTCCTTGGTGTGGCTCCTGGTGTGGGAATAGACCTGAGGAAGAGACTCCACCCACTGGTGAGCCCTGGTGAGGAATTCACTCCAGTACCCATGTCCAACTCATCAGGCAAGTAGTGGGGAGGTTGAGTCATCGTTGTAGGTGTGATAACGGCATGATATCCTGGGATATATTTGCTGATGTTGATGGTATACGATTTGTCATGAAAGACCAATGTACGTATGTACTGCCCACGCTTAAACCATGACAAAACATGTAATGGCAATTTGTACGCACTGAACGACCATGCACACGACATTGCATATGCATCATTGTTAAAGGGACTAGACGTTGTTGGTTGAATTTCGACATTCCAGGGTTAAGTGAATGGGTGAGATTTTCTTGATCCCCAAAAGATGAAACCTTTAACGAATTTATCCGAAAATACAAGCTGTATTTAATGTGGTTTCCTGTGGTGTGTGTGTACACCTAACCTAACAGCCTGGTTGTGCCGGGATGTTGTCCCGTGCTGTCGGTTGACAGAACTGTCTATCGACTATTCGCGTTCACCAATTCACCATTGTTGTTCAATATTCACCTTATCTTATGGTACAGGTTAAATCAACACATGCAAATCCACTAAGTCGGTAACGATAAATGAGAAATGCATAAAAAGAATATGAATTCATTCATTTATTATTTATTTAATATGAAATCATCTATATATTTATGTAATAAGAAAATGCAAAAAGTGCTCAAAGATAAAAAAGGTTGAAAACTTCGAGAAATCACACACACATCTAACCCTTTTCAATAACTCATAACAGGTTTACCGTTTTTGTCATAATCTGACTGCATATCTCTGCAAGTGAAGAGCTAACTGTTGTAATGGGAAGAAGTCAAGTACATGCGTAGATACCTCAATATCCCACCTAAGTGTCTTGGTGTCAGTATGTGTGTAGGACTTGCCCATGACTTCTGTGTGTGGCCACAAGGCTGTGGTGGGGCTCACACAGCGCGGACTCCGTCAAGTGAGTGTGAGTCAAAGGGTTTTAATGCCGTCTGTTATGGCAACTGGAGCGATATGTGATAATGGGAAGCGTATGGTATCAATATCTTAATTTCTAGAGTCAAAGGTAGACTGTCGTAGCGCTACAGAACCAAACCAAGGTTGGGTCTAACAGTAGCTTTACACACCCCAAGTGAACGTGGACACCCGTTTTCTATGTAAGCATGAGGCTTTGGACGTGTTAGTTTGCCTTGTGTTGCATGACATATTTCATGGATAAGACCACACGGGTTGAGGCCACAGACATCGCTGTATCCGCAACTTCCAAAGACGATCTGACGTCTTGTGAAATACTCAAACAACTTTGATTACCATGTTCTGCAGTAACAGAGGCGGTAAGAAAGGTATTAAAATTTAATCAAAAACATGAAGATGTAAAACGTGCAAGAATTATGAAAAAAGTTGTGAAGACATATTGGGAAAACACAAGTGGCTGTGATGCGGCGTTGATGTTAACATTTGTGCCGGAGAGGCAGCGTTTGTAGTAGAAGCCGTCCACCTCCAAACAATAGTGCATCTTATTACAACAGTCAGAGGGTCTGCGACACGTCCCCCAGTAGTTGGAGCAGCACTTGTTGTGTGAGCCACACTTGAGTCTGTCCTCGCACTGGTAGGTGTACAGACACCGCTGGTGGAGCACGCTCTTGGTGCAACGGGCGTCGGTGCCCGGGTGACCCTGTTCGCATCTCTCACTGCAACACTCCCGGTCAGAACTGCAGCCTTCGTTAGACCATTTGCACAGAAAGCCTGGAACAGACACATCATCACGGAGTATGTATCACAAAATGTTCTGTTTCCAAGTCACGTGGAGACTCATAGTCATATCTCACTGAAGCAGGCTGGACGAACATTAGATTGGTAGAGATAACTGACGGTTTCACTCAGGAGGGAGAGAGTGGAAAAGGACATAGTTTTCTTGATCGAAAAGCACTTGTAATTTTGTACAATACACCACGCGAAGCATTAGACATATGAATCAAGTCTCTCGGTTTGACATGTTTACACTGTAAAACTGCGTCACCGCCAAAGGTGCCTACCACAACTAGCCGACTTTTTAAAATTATTATTATACTAACATTTGCATAGCACCGAGTTCCAGCTCATCTGCTCAAAGGCGTTTTGATTTTCCCTCGATCATTGGATGTCAAACTCGAACGGCACATCGTATTATCAATCTCAACTGTCTGGGGATCGTACAACTCTTGCAATCGACTTAATGTGGCTTTCCCATCCTTGCGAGGTGCCCATTCACAGCTTGGTAGACTGGGACACATAGTCACCGTACTTTGTCCAAGTTTTACTGCACGTTGCTGTACCCGCAACTAGGTGTTTGCAACGGTAATCGGGAAAAAACATCAGGAAAAAAAGAATCGGAAAAAAAAGAATCAATTTTTGCTAGGAAAAATAGAAACAGGAAAAAAAGAATCAGTTCACAGCAGTTAAGACTAGACTTCTTTGAGCACTTCCACCATACCTTGTTCTTTCTTGTACAGTTTCTGGTGTACATGTACGCATTCCAGCAAAGCTTCTTGCCACCCTTGTTGCTCTCTATCACCTCCATAATGTCTTACCTCATACTGACATGCTTTACTCTTATATAGATCTATTGGTACCACTATCAAAACTAATGTAACCATATACCAATTATACATGATTGGAAGCCAGTTAATCCCTTAACAATATCTCTTCCACTCTGCTGTTGAATTTTTCAGGGGATGATACACATACACTATCAAAGCTAATGTAACCATATACCAATTATACATGATTGGAAGCCAGTTAATCCCTTAACAATATACTGACTGTTAGTTTTTTTATAAGCTGATTCTTTATACCAATTATACATGATTGGAAGCCAGTTAATCCCTTAACAATACACTTACTGTTAGTTTTTTTATAAGCTGATTCTTTATACCAATTATACATGATTGGAAGCCAGTTAATCCCTTAACAATACACTTACTGTAGGCTTTTTTATAAGCTGCTTCTTTTTTTCCTGATTCATTTTTTCCGTTTTTGTTTTTCCTGATTCAATTTTTCCTGATTCCTTTTTTCCTACAATCTTTGCAACTTCCGTTGTACTGTCACATAGTGCCACGATGTAACCTACCTTACTTCGCCATGCTGGTGTCACAGTTGGTTCACATGTGTGTTAATACTATGGTGGGTTAGTTACCTTCTACTGGCAAGATGGTGAAGCCCAGAAACGCTGTCACCTGCAATAGCACCGTCGACAGTCGCATCCTGGCAATCTGGCCTCCAGCATAGCTGTAACAGGACAGTATTAGCACATTATAACATTTATCAATCTAAATCACATTGTCTTCGCTGAGACAATACACCATTAAACACATCATTTAGCTAAATCAAGAACACATTAACAAACATATCCATATAACAAGCAACATTAAACAACTCCTGCACCTATAACAAATGTTAAACACTACACAGCTGTAAAATGTTAAACACTACACAGCTGTAACAAATGTCAAATACACTGCACAGCTGTAAAATGTTAAACACTACACAGCTGTAAAAGGTTAAACACTACACAGCTGTAACACATGTTAAACACTACACAGCTGTAATAACTGTTTAACACTACACAGCTGTAACAAATGTGAAACACGATACAGCTGTAACAAATGTGAAACACTACACAGCTGTAACAAATGTGAAACACTACACAGCTGTAACAAATGTGAAACACTACACAGTTGTAACAAAGGTTAAACACTACACAGCTGTAACAAATGTTAAACACTACACAGCTGTAAAATGTTAAACACTACACAGCTGTAACAAATGTCAAATACACTGCACAGCTGTAAAATTGTTAAACACTACACAGCTGTAAACACTACACTAGCTGTAAAAGGTTAAACACTACACAGCTGTAACACATGTTAAACACTACACAGCTGTAACAACTGTTTAACACTACACAGCTGTAACAAATGTGAAACTCGACACAGCTGTAACAAATGTGAAACACTACACAGCTGTAACAAATGTGAAACACTACACAGCTGTAACAAATGTTAAACACCACACAGCTGTAACAAATGTGAAAAACTACACAGCTGTAACAACTGCTAAACACTACACAGCTGTAACAAATGTTAAAGTGAGTGAGTTTAATTTTACCCCGCACTCAGCAATATTCCAGCTATATGGCGGCGGTCTGGACGAGACAATCCAGTAATCAACAGTATGAGCATCGATCTACGCAATGGGGATATGATGACATGTGTCAACCAAGTCAGCAAGCCTGACCACCCGATCCCGTTAGTCGCCTCTTATGACAAGCATAGTCGCCTTTTATGGCAAGCATGGGTTGCTGAAGACCTATTCTAACCTGGATCTTTACGGGTCAAATGTTAAACACTACAGAGCTGTAACAATTGTTTAACACTACACAGCTGTAACAACTGCTTAACACTACGCAGCTGTAACACGTGTTTAACACACCACACAGCTGTAACAAATGTTTAACACTACACAGCTGTAACAAAACTGAACATATCAGACAGCTGTAAGACATTTAACATATTCATCACAGCTATAACACTGTTAAATCCATAACAGAGCTGCAACAACATTACACCGCTGTAATTACCACACTACTCAGTTGTAACACATTGCATTGTTGTAACAACATTACACCGCTGTAATTACAACACTACTCAGTTGTAACACATTGCTTTGTTGTAACAACATTACACCGCTGTATTTACAACATTACTCAGTTGTAACACATTGCATTGTTGTAACAGCATTACACCGCTGTATTTAAAACATTACTCAGTTGTAACACATTGCATTGTTGAACAACATTTGTTACATTACGTAACTACAACACTATCAAACTCACTATTGAACACCTTTACCAAAACTGAACTGTATTAAACCCATTACAGATATGTAACAATGTTAAAGACGTCACATAGCTGTAACAATGTTAAAGACGTCACATAGCAATGTTAAAGACGTCACATAGCTGTAACTATGTTAAACACACACGATTGTAACAAGACCATCTTCGATACTTTAATCAGTTGTCATAAGATTCCACTTAATACATGTTTGTACCAAGTCAATAGCTTACACATTCTATATCTGCACTAAGCCAATAGTTGACACATTCTATATCTGCACTAAGCCAATAGTTGACACATTCTATATCTGCACTAAGCCAATAGTTGACACATTCTATATCTGCACTAAGCCAATAGTTGACACATTCTATATCTGCCCTAAGCCAAGAGTTGACACATTCTATATCTGCACTAAGCCAATAGTTGACACATTCTATATCTGCACTAAGCCAATAGTTGACACATTCTATATCTGCACTAAGCCAATAGTTGACACATTCTATATCTGCACTAAGCCAATAGTTGACACATTCTATATCTGCACTAAGCCAATAGTTGACACATTGACTATTCTATATCTGCACTAAGCCAATAGTTGACACATTCTATATCTGCACTAAGCCAATAGTTGACACATTCTATATCTGCACTAAGCCAATAGTTGACACATTCTATATCTGCACTAAGCCAATAGTTGACACATTCTATATCTGCCCTAAGGGAATAGTTGACACATTCTATATCTGCCCTAAGGGAATACTTGAAACATTCTATATCTGCCCTAAGGGAATACTTGACACATTCTATATCTGAACTAAACTAATAGTTGACACACTCTATATCTGCACTAAGCCAATATTTTATAGTAGCACTTAGCTGGTGGATGACACATTCCATATTCGAAACAGGCCGATAGTTAACACATTGTATATCAAACCAAGCCAGTGAATGACTTATCATATATCTGAACCAAGTCAGTGGATGACACATATTATACTCAGCAGCCAAAAAAAACGACAGTACGAATTCAGAATTAGATAGGCACTGTAATCAAATCATTACAGAAATTGACATAATAAGCGGATCAAAAACATTTCTTGTGTACAATATCTTGACACATCAATGAATAACTCAGCACAATTTCAAGACATTACGTGGACGTTTACAGTCCATTCAGACTCTTGTCTTCAGTATCCAGTGTGACCACCACGAGCGGCAATAACTGCAGCACATCGTCTATGCATGGAGTGCACCAATCGATTGATGAAGGCCATTGGAACCTGGAACCACACTCTGAGAACGGCCTGGCGCAATAAATCGACTATGTTCGGCCTTGGTATGACATTATTCAGTCTCCTCTGAAGTTCATCCCAAAGATGTTCAGTTGGGTTTAAATCAGGACTAAGGTCTCTTTCCACACATTGGTCTGAGTAACGCTGGCCACGTCGTCGCCATATTCTTGTTCTGCCATCTGCAGTTGATACGCAGTACCTACTCTCATTTCTCCATTGTCTGTATCGCCAGTTTTGGTGTTGTAGGGCAAACTATAGACGTTCACGCCGATGACGAGGGGTGAGGATAGGTCCACGGTAAGGTCTACGACAATGGAGGTTCCCGCTGTTAAGACGTCGGCGTACTGTATCAGTACTGATTGGTCTTCCGTGTGTTCCTACTGTCTGGCGTGCTGTTTCGGATGCCTGCATGAAGGGATTCTGTACATGCTGTCGCACAACATGGCGGTCTTGTCGTCTTGTGGTCACCCTTGGTCTGCCAGTACGGGGCGATCATTTGTGGTGTTGGTGGCCCGGAAACGTTGCTGCAGCCTGTAGATGGTCCGAACGTTGACCTAGAAGTGATGGGCAACGGCTTTGTGCAGTGTGGCCAGCTTCAAGTCTTCCTAGCGCCTGGTTCCTCTGAGCTGTCGTGAGAAGGGGCATCTTGCTGACGTTGTAAGGTGAATGTTTCAACAAGGTTTGGGTGTGCATTTTATAGGGCTGGTCCTTGTGAACAGCACGTGCAGCATGAGTTGCATGAAACACATGGAGAACACCGTACCATCTCCGAGATCAGGTTGCGTTTTTGAGACCATTTCCTGGGTTCCATTCTGAGTTTGGGAAGGAATGTCTTTGCTCGGGTAAAGTTGGAGATGTTGTCCAAATAATCAATCAAAACATTAAATGAGTTTGCAGTTATCTGTTTCTGCGAAGGAAAAATCCAAAATGACGTTTCTTTTGCTGCTTAGTATATATCCGAAACAAGCCAATAGTTGACACATTCCATATATGTACCAAGCCAGTAGATGGCACATTAAACATATGTAGCAAGCCAATACTCGGTACCTTATATCATACTCTGCGTGGCTGTAACTCATTGGTGGTAACACACTATAAAGTTGTAACGGGATAACAGATGACACCGCAGAACAATAAACAACGAAGTACAATACCATGTCAGACTGGGCCTGCTCATCAGCGGTGTGGACAGTGACCACTAACAGTCCAGTAACCAAGACAACCAAAGCCAATGTTGAGCATCAACGAGAAAGGCATGGGCCAGTATATAAGAACAAAAGAATGGTTCTTTTATGTTTGGACACCTATCGCTAATACATGACAAGAGGGAAATTGAATTTTCACGTCGAATCCTTTGATGTTATTTGCGGATGTTGCTGCATGTTGGTCTGCATCTCCCAGCGTGGCAACATTAGCGTACTACAGCCATTGCATAACCCACTGGCCACGTAGAAAGATTATTTCCAGACATATGTTCCATTATTTGTAAAGAAAGAAGTTTTAAGGTATATCTTTGTGTTACTACCGTGCATTCCATAGACATGTATCATACATACAACACACTGCAGCGTACTGGTGTACATATTGGCTTCATGTATACCATACGTTGGATATGCAATGCACTGGTGTATTTACTGTGCTACATATATAGCTAATCTGTGATATTCAACGTACCGATGTAATTATACATATGGAACAAAACTGAGAGATGCTGTACAGTCGTGTCAGCGATAATGGCGTGTTTCCCTGTGTATGGGGATTAATTACTTTCAGCGGCAATAGCATGACATACGGCCGTTTTTCACCCGAACGTATACAGTAGGAGTCCCAATACAGCATTAATGTAGGACATATCTAGATTACACCATGAGCTGAAGCCACACATGCATATGCAAGACGATGATGAAGGTGATTGTCAGTGAGAAAATTGGTCGATAATGGCATCACATTCCACAGTGATGAACAAGTAAAGATATAATTGAAGCAGCGCTGTGTCTCACATCGTTGACTGCAGCTTCAGCAGTGGGTCGATTGTGACGTGGGGATGTTTTGTGGATATGAACATCCGAGGGTTTATCCACCACGTTGGAAACTAGAA